ACGAAGATTTTTAAATTCTTGCTGTACGTTACATTTTGGTATTGGTATGACTTCTGCCAGCTTCCATTTGGACGGATAAGTGGAGTGTTTTATGCAATAGTTAAATATATGTTTAAGAAATTTTAAGATGTAGGGGCAACAGTTCAAAATCGTTGTAATACTGATTTGATCACATCCCATTGCCTTAGACTTTATAGACAATATATAGCGATAAATTTCATTTTCATCTGTTAAGTCGAAACAGAAATCGTTATTATATAATTTTTGTGTTTGATAATATTGCAAAAGCTCATTATCATTTGTAGAATTTTCGCTGTAGCTACTAATAAAATAATTATTAATGTGGTCAACGTTAGACAGTGAATAAGGGATCTCATTAGAACAGTCTTTTTTGTTATAAATGTCAAAATTTCTAAGTACTTTTCAAAAGGAATTTCCTGCTTTTTCTCTAAATTTATAGTTTTATTAGTTAAATTTCGCAACTGCTTATAATATTCAAAATAATGAGGATTCTTTTTTTTAATCTACTTAGGGCTTTATTACAAACAGAAATCATATATTTTAGATTATCAGTGAGCCAGCCAGCATGTTTTTTTGAGATTTTAACTGTTTTTTTACTAGCGCGATTATTAAAATTTAATAGTAAAAGGTTGTAAAAATGCCTAACTTTATCGTCAACATTATTTATGTAATAAATACCTTCAAAATCATAAGCGATGAGATCGCGAGTAAACATGTCTTTGTTAAAATGTTTATAATCTCGGAAAGTATAAAGAAACGGCTCAGATTTATTTTGTTTATATTTTACAGTTTACAGTACAGGATACTAATTGATGTTCACTGATTAGAGAACATTCATAATTTTTTACATTGCCTACTATTAATGCCTCTAAGCAAAAAATTACATCAAGAAGGGTTTTACTGTTAGCTGTAATACGAGTTGGTTCAGTGACAATTTGATTCAGTTCAAAACTTTTTCCTATATCTAGTAACTGCGTACCTGTTTTAATTAACCCCAATAAATCTATATTGAGATCTCCTAGACATAGAATGTAATCAAATTTGTAACTTATTTCTGCTAAAGTGTTATTAAACTCTTTAAGAAATTTATTAGTAGAAAAATTATCTGGTCCGTAGAGTGTGCGCATGTTTTATTTTCTAACTTAAAAGTTACTCTAATGACATGTTTCCAATTAGAACTGATTTACTTAATAAATGGTTTTTTATATAGATCGCTACACCCCCGCCTATTGTTGGATGGTCCTTCCGATATAATTTATAATTAAGAAGATGTATACCTTAACATTAGTGTTCAGCCAAGTCTCAGAGAGCGTTATATTATCAAAATTGTTGTAAACCAGATTTTTAAAGTTCGCAAATTTGGATCCCTATGATCGTGCATTTAGATAACATATCTTAATAACCATTTGATGACAAAACATATCCCAAAAAAGAATTTAAAAAATAATAAAATAATGTTAGGAGAAGAGATCACAATCAACAGTTTTTGTTAAATATATGTGACAGAAATATAAATGATTTTAACTATATGTTTACTAATAATTAATTTTATAATATCCTATTTATATAATTACAAATTAGAGAGACGCTAAAATAGTGGTTCCCACCTTATCGAGACTGAGGCCCACAATGGTAAACTCGTAGCGTAACAATAATGAGAAATGATTTAACTTGAACCGAAATACCGGAAGTCGGTAGTAGTATTAGCACGTTGAATTTTTTGGTTTGTGAAGCATTGGCATTACTTAGGACAAAACAATGTGATGATTTTTACAAGCCTTGATTTTTAAAACCATTCTATATCGCCTTTTGATTAGGGTTTAAAAACTTGTTCGATCAATTTATCCAATAATAATATAATTACTAAGAACTTCTTTTGTACTTACAACTCATTTGCTCATGGCATTATTTCCCTAAACAAAATTGACATCTACTTTGAGGGACTAAATTTATAGTATTTTAAAGTATTGATTGATATCATGAACAACAATGACAACGAGAAAAATTAAATTTGGATTCAATCTCTATAAAACTGTTCCACACAAATTTGAAGAAATAAATATGGCGTGGAATATTGTTGACAGACACGAACCAAAATATGTACAAATTGTTAAAATAATAATTAAGGATTTCATTAAAGTTTTATATGCTACAGTATCAACAAATAATCTCCAGACACTTCATACCGAAGTTGCCAAAATTTTTGAACCATGTATTAAGGTAGTTCACTCGCGACAGTCGTACATAAAAATATCGCTTAATGGTGAATACCAATAGTTCGAGATTCTCAATGCTAATAAATTTTATTTTTGTAAGAGACTATACAAAACACATGTAAGTTTATATATAAGGATTTTAATAAAATTCATCCGGCAACCTCATAAATAAATGAATGAAATTTGTGACTTTCTCATATTAATTTTAAGAGTTTGTTTTGGTTCAAACAGAACCGCTGATTCCAGTTCTCAAATTCAGTGGACAAATTAATTTTTCAAGAAAACGTCGCGAGGTTATAACATCCTCTTAGCTGATCGAGTGTTATTTTGGTACAAGGCGTTGATTGCAGCGTATACAACGTTGCTAAGTTGTAATAATTTTACGCAACTACGCATCGATTGCTTTAAAAATCTATTTACTAAGACGGTCAAAAAATTCAACGTTTCTTTAAAAAGTTTTATAACTTCTTGATTTACATAACATTAGTTTTTAAAAAATATGGTTAGAACCGTTTTCGATATATCTTGAAATAAATGCATTACTTGTATACATGAGAAGCTTCAAGAGTGTTAATTATGCACATTTTGATTGTTAATATCTCGTTTCACAAACGGTCAAAAAATTTAATTTTTTTTAGTTGCATAAAAGACGCTTTCATTAACCTTATATTTCAATTTTATTGAATTCCTAAGAAAAGCCGTTTTACGAGTGAACTACCTTTTAACAAAATGTGCTGTACTTGTAATACAAGAAATATTAATATCGTAAATACTCTAGGAGACTTACTTTTTATTCGCGTTTACCGAACTGGACTTCAGCAATATTTTACTAATCTAACATTACAAGAAATACCCAAAGAACCGATTATAAATGAAACTTCATATTACTTTAAGTTTTTAATAGAATTTGTACCTCCATTAATAGGTACAATTGGATATTTTATTTGTCACGTACCAACTAAGAAAGGTTTTTGCGTCATTGATGATCTTTCGTACACCGAAAAAATTACGAAACCAAGTCACAAAATAAAAAGTCCTAACGTTATTGTCTATCGAAAATTGGAACATACAACGGCCTTAAAGATTATTAAATTATTCAAACAAACTGGCAAACAACAGATCTCATTCCCAAAATCAAACAAACTGAACCGAAAACATACAAAATAGAGCAACTCGAACGTCAGAAGAAAGAACATTCTGTAAGTAGGAATTTTACTTCCACTGGCTAAAATCAATACCATATGCTCATCAAATTTATAAATTTTCTTTGCTTCTGTTATTGTCATACTCAAGATCATACTACACGGAAAAAAAATTGTAGAACAAATTTCTACAATTATAGATTTTTTCTCTACAATAAATAGTACATATAGGGACATGGACAATTTGTAGTAAACATTTCCAAATATTTGTGGAGAATGTATTGTAGAGTTATTATCTACAATATTTAGTAAAAAATATCCAAATGCATCATAAGAATTGTTCTACAAGTTGTTATAATTTTTGCTATTCATTGTATGAATTTATATTAAAAATGTATTGCGTTTTATGAAAATAAATACGAAAATTTTACACAATAAATAGTAAAAATTCATACAAATTGTAGTAATTTTTAATAAAATTTGTAGTAGTATTCCATACTTATTATAATTATAACCTAGAAAAAAATGTTCCCTAATAAAATATTCAATTTATTGTTTTAATATAAAAGATACAAGGTCTTAATTACATTATGTAATAAATAACAGTAATAATAGCGCCCTCAGTCTCAGTTGGCTTTTCTGCACCTAAAAAATATGAAATAAAAATTAATACCAATTGAACTGTTCATGCCCTTAAAACGGGGATATTTATCACCTTTACACTAATTTGGATATTAAATGACTAAGTCAGATAACTAACAAAAATGAGAAAGTAGGTATGTCACATTTAAGACAAAAAAACATCATTGAACTTGGCACAAAATTCGATCGTTGGGCACAACATTCGATCGTTGGCCACAACTATTTTTTTTAAATAATCTACTAAGGTTATTTAAATTAGTTATCTAAAGGTAAATTATTCAGAAACAATAATACATGTACTTACCACCAATAGAATTTATTATTAAAATTTTCTCAAACGCATCGGTGCTTATAATATAATAATGTGTTATAGGTACTCGTATATGTACCATGCTTTGTTATGTGAACATGGCGAACGGCTACTGCTGTCTGGCCATTTATGATCGACGTCAGAAAACGTTGGCCAATAGCAGAATTCTGTTTTGTTCACATGACTTAGAATTTCTACAATATTATAGAATATTTTTGAACAAAACTGAATTTTTTTCATAAGAAGGGATGTAAAGTATTACTATTTTTTGTAGAGAAAATTACTATTTTTTGTAGAGATAATTATTAATATGTGTAAAAATTTTTACAGAAGTTAGTAGTAGTAATTACGATAATTGTAATAAATTTCTACTTCTACAAACAATAGTAAAATATACTAAACATTGTGGACTTCTTTCCTATTGTTGTAGCATTTTATTCGACAATTCAATTTCTACAAAAATTAATAGTTTTTAACTATAAATTGTAGTAACATTTTCTACAAATTGTTAAGTATTTTTCTACAAGTCTACTACTACAATATTGTAGTAAAATTTTCTAGTCACATTTTTTTCCGTGTATCATTCAAATATTCATAAACAAATCATTTACATATGGCTTGGCTAGAAGAAATCGAAGTATTTCAGCTGTTTCAAGAGTATGATTATGTTTAGTACGTATCGTAATTATAAATTGTAATCCTTTCTGAAATAATACCAAATTAAAAAATTTCAAACTGAGAAATAATTAATTACTTGTACCAAAAACAAGACGAGTATGTAAAATTTTATTTTAATATTAAACATTAGGTATATTTAAAGTGTTATCCTATTATTTACCTTAATAAATGGATCTTTTAATCTTGATGGTTTAGAAGTCCTAAAATCCACTGAATATTTATTTGTTTATTAGTATCATCCATAGTTTTAATGTTACTTCGAATGTATCATTTTTGAAAATCACGTTTTCAAATTCAGTTAGCAGACATCTCAAAAGGTTTATAAAATATGAAAATCAGAGTAAAACCGTCACTCGCTTAACCTTAAAACAATCAAATGCGTACCAATTCGATTAACCAGAAAAAATTATATTTTTAACTTGTGTAATTATTTTTAAATTACATACACATTATGTTAAAAATTGTTAAAAATAAATATCAAAAGAAGGATACAAACATTTTTAAATATTTTGACATTTAAGAACAATTCACATATCACAGTTCAGTTGACAACTTGATACTTGACATAATTTAATAATTATATAATATATAAGATATTTTGTTAATATGTAATAAGATTAAATATTAGATGTAGGATTTTTGATAAGAAAAATAAAATATAAATTAAAAAAAAGCAATATATTTTCGCCCAAGCCCGGGTTTGAACCTAAGATCTTTGCGTTATGAGCCCGAAGCCGTGGTTATTCAGCACATAACATCGGTTTAATATATGTATACTTAAACTGTATGTTGTACCTAATGTCATTATACAGGTTAATTCTCTGTTTTAGAAATAAATGCGCTTGTAGAAAAAATTTTGATCGTAACACGTGCTATCTTCTATCTTCTAGCACTTGTTGCGATAACTACTATTTTAAGAAACTGCTTGTATAACTGCTTGTATATTTTTCATAAATTGGCAGGCTTGACGACTACTATTTAGAATAAAAATAGCCTATGATTGCAACTATGAAAGTCGCAACCCCCCTTAGAAATCTCACTTTTACAATCAACAGTTATTTGATAGGTCGCTGGAATTTTAGGAATCTTAGGAATTTAGACGTGGAATCCTCGGAATGTATAAATTAGTCGCATACGGATGACACAGGCGGATTTAAGAACATTGATATTAATGTAGTTAGGATGAACCAAAAATTCTGAAACTCAATAGGGTTCTAAGTTAGAAGCAATTATTTAACAAAATCAAAACCCCAAGTCAATCAAAACTTTCGTTCTCGAGTTATCGTGCCGGCATACATACATACAGACAACCAGACGAAAAAAAATTTTTTTTTTCATTTTCGGACTCAGAATGATCGGAAACGTGAAAAAAAGTTAAAAAAATGGGGATAAGAAAATTTTTTCGTCTGCACGAATGCAATACTGAGGCCCCTTGGGAAGGGCCTCAGTAATAAATAAAAATGTAATATCTTAACCCAAAATAAATAAGACAAAATTCACCCCCCCCCCCTCCACCTAAATTTTGAGGTGGGTGAAGTGACTTATCCTTTGGGGATGACATTTTTTTCGTCTCAAAGTCCAATGCGTCGTACCCGAAGTTAATTTTTCTAAGTCTATGGTTTCTATATATCGAGCTCCCCTGGGGGTGAAGTAAGGGTGAGATGATGTTGAGCAGTTTTAAATCTTGTTAGGCGGGGCCTTCGCCACAACTTTTATTTTTGTATTATCCCTTACCATTTAAACGTATCTGAGGAAGACGGGGAAGTTGGAGGATTGACAGAAGAAGTATTTTTCATTTCGTTCTTTGCGAACCTCTATCTGTCCATGTAACATTTTCCATGTTGGTTCAAAATTAAAGGATGTTAGATATAGGCTAATTTATTTATTCAATAATAATTCATAATTAGGTGGATCAATAGTTGAAAAAAATACTATTTTAATTTTTTTTATTGAAAGCACTAAAGCTCGTCAATAGCTACTAAACAAAACTAAAGCAAAGAAAATCAGTCCACAAACCGAACAGAAAATGAACTATTTTGTCTTTTCCTATTTATAAATAAGATTCTATTATGCATGACAGGTAAAAAGTTTCACCTAAAAAAATCTGTACTACTTTGGTTAAATACCGCTACTATGGTAATGTTGCACACCATGCAGGAAAACATTCTAAACGTATAAAGTTGATTTAAGGAGGTCCTTTCGCCACACCTCTTGCCTCAAATGTTAAAAAAAAAGTTATTAGATTATGACTAAAATTAATTTTTTTCTAATAGTTGAAGCCCTTATTTATCTAATACTGAACTTTTAACTATACCTTACCTTGCAAATTTTTGAGAATTTTTTTTTTAAATGTGAGTATTTGTATAGTGCCTCACGAGAAAGTAAGTCCTCAACAACAATTCTCGAATTATACTATTATTGATTGATTAGATGGAGTAGAAAAAAACTAAAAATAAGGTTTTTGAAATATTTAGATTTTGTTTTGTACAATAAAATATATATAGTAAACCGTGGAACTTCTTGAGAAATTAATATTAAAAAATCACAAAAAATTTTCAAGTAACCTAGTTGAAAATTTTTTGTGATTTTTTAATAATAATTTTTCAATAAATTCCACGGTAACCTATATATTTTATTGTAAAAAACAAAACCTAAATATTTTAAAAACCTTATTTTTAGTTTTTTTTTACTCTGTCTAATCAATAAATAATAGTATACTTAATTATAATTCAAAAATTGTTGTTGAAGTCTTACTTTCTCGTAAGACACTGTACAAATACTCACATTTTTAAAAAAAAATTCTCAAAAATTTGCACGGTAAGGTATAGTTAAAAGTTCACTATTAGATAAATAAGGACTTCAACTATTAGAAAAAAATTAATTTTAGTCATAATCTAATATTTTTTATTTAACATTGGTGGCGAAAGGACCTCCTTAAGAGCGTTATCCAGTACGCTTCTAACCCAGATTTCAAATCTACTAAGTAATATGCGACGTAGTACCTCTCAGACCAATTTGGCAATGTCGCGCGCTCGATGTATGTAGGATGTTTCTTTGAGAGATATTTAAGTCGGATTTGGGTGTGCGTTTTAGTTTTTCGTAAAGCAAAATTTAGTATAGCAAAATTTAGTATAAAAGTCGCTTATTGCTCGAGATGATAAAAATTGACGCATAACCAAATCAGACCCTGTAGATAATATGTAAATAAGTAGTATATGAAACAGCCACTTAGACATTTTTCAGTACCTATTTAGGTCCGACATTTTTTAATGACAAGAAAAAAACAAAAATCAGAAATTATTAAAAATTACTATTATTAACATCACCGTAGATTGTAAACTAATCGAGCTATCGACTTGATTTTGTTTATGATAAAGTAGAAATATGATCGCAAGTTTCAGAAAATAATATAGAATAATAGCATGCACCAAAAACATAAAATCTGTAGATTTATTTTAAAAATAATATTAAAATATTATGATTTAATTGCAAACAAAATCAATAAGTAATTGTAAATTACTTATATGTAGACAATCGCAGGTATGTACGAGATTATCGACAGATAAAGGATATTTAGTTAACATAACTTTACTTGCTCACATTTATAACTATCCATACTACTCATTATTGAGCATCATTTCAAAGAGAATTTTGTATTTCTAACCCCGTTATAAACGAGAGTCAATTATTTCTGGGAGAACACAATAATTTATATAAAAACAGTGGAGTTTTTTTTTGCTTTGTGTTATGCCAGAAATTATTGTATCGTTCAATTTTTCCCATTAAAAAACCCAGAGGGGCCCACATCACGAAAAAGTAACATTGTCTTTTTGTTATGTGAAGCTGCTCCTGTACCTAGTAGAAATAGTTATGGTTTTGATTCAAATGTGTATTATTATTGTCGTTAATTATTACATATTTTATAATAATTGTTTGCATTATTGCATCTTGCGGTGTTAACTTTGAAGCAGAAGCAGGGCATTTAATTTCAATTATACAATCAATTCCTACCAGGCCATTAGGACTAGCCCCCAAAATAACAAATCCAGATCGACAAACAAAACCACAATTTTCGACATGCATAATTAATTTTTCTGAAAATTGACTTAGTGCTATTTGTTCTTTTTCTAAGCCATATCTTATACGTTCATTTCCCATGTGCGTGGAGTAAACCAAATGTTTTATAAAATTTGTTTTTAGTCGCATTTTACAATCAGTACCAAAATTAGAAGCAGTTATGTGTACACTTTTAGCTTGTTTCCATTTAGGGTTTTCTCCTTGCCCTCTATTCTCTTTTTCAATCAATTCTATTTCAAGAGAGTTCTTTGTAACTATTTTAAAAATATTTCTTTTTTATTTTAATACTCCTTATCATTAAAATCGGGTATTATATTCTCATGGTCAAGAAGACCGTAATCTTTACCCTCTAGGACATTTTTTTGACCTTTAGTCAGTTATACGAGTTAGGTCTTGATAACTACAAGCCTCCGAATAAAATCAAAACTGTCCTTTAACAATAAAGAAAAATTTTATTAAGCGACATGCGTGATTTTTTCCATAAATTAATTTAGCATTTTTTACTATCATATGTCGTGATCGGCGGGTCCTTTTTGCCCACAAATCTCTGTTTTCTACCTGTGTAAGTAAAGGGGTGCGTTAATCTTACTGGTATTTTGCCCACAGTAGCATTCAGGTACCTAAACCCGCAAATTACATCCGCCCACAAATAGGTACCTACCTGATTATTAATAATTCTAATAGGTACTTACTTTGGGTGTTTACTGTTTATATTTCAGTCAGTTTTTATACGTTGATGATTGTAATTCGAGTGTTTATAAACAATAATTATTTCTATAATGTCAGCTACATTGATTAAAAGCACACGCGGGAAAGATGTACTCCTTTTGGAGAATTTTACGTTTGCCAAAGATAGAGAAATGAAAAGTGGAGAAGTTTCTTGGAGATGCTCCCAAAGAAAAACAAATGCTTGTAATGCCACTGTATTTACAATTGGTCCTGAACTTTT